AAAGTCCCAGTAACCTATCCTGTCTGTTCTTCCTTTCTCTAGGAGAAAGTTTGCATCCTGGAATCTATGAGCAGCTTACCCCCTCCAGGTTTTAACCATTGAAGAATATACCTCATGTGATATCCACTTCAGCATGAAGTATCTTCTCCTTATCACAATTTCTTCTTCCCCTGAGCTTCCTTTGGCCTAGGTAGGACAGTGATGCCACAGGCCTGTTTTTTAGACCACTCATATTCTGTGAGTAAAAGATAAAATGCGACAACATTGCACTACACTACAATCCACTGAACCAAACTAAACTGAACTGCTCAGGACAATTTCATCTGCCAGGCAGCAACTGAGAGCCTTGGCTGAGGGCTGTATTCAACCCCTTATTGTGATTGGCTCTTGTGTTTCTCTGCGAAGGTCAAGCTTCAAAAGGAATGGAATGTAACAATTTAAAGAATAACTTTTATTATCATGGATACTCTTTTTGAAGTGAAAGCTCCTCCTTCACAAGTTTATGAATCTACCATATTGTTATTACCAACTGTAGGAAACTGAAAAGTAGAGTTTTGTGTAGTTATAACATCTTCTGTTTTTATTTGGAAGGTCCTGAGTTTAAATTGTAATCCAGAGGCCACTTACACTTTTTTTTTATTGGTCAAAATACTCAGTGAACCTATATCATACCTTGTGGCAACCATTTGGAAGAAAATTTGTGTGATTGTTTGAACTTGCCACCAGGGTGTGAATACCAAAAGAGTGTTGATAATAGAATGTAGTTCCTTCTAATGGTGAAGTGACAGTCTGTGTTGATGTTGATGATGATGCATCCTACTTTATATTAGTAGATGGGGTATTGTAATAGTCTTGCCATTCAATGTTATATTTTTGCTTCTCCATAGCATCCATACTGGCTATGGGGCCTACCCAGCCTCCCATCCAGTGGGTACCAGGGGCTCCTTCCCTGGGGGTGAAACGGCCAGGGTGTGAAGCTGACCACTCACCTCCGTGTACTTCTGAGGTCAGGAACGAAGGAACTATACCTCCACTTCCCCACATGTCTTCATGGTGTAGTGCTTAATGAAGCACAGGGACAGATTTCCACCCCACCCCCCATTCTGTGTAACCCAACCACTTGGTAAAGCTTCCTTAAATATACCCTGAACCAATCACATATGACGTCTGGGAAGCCCTGCCAGAGTGTGGTACACAAAGAAGGCTGGAACGATTGCCACTTGTACAGACAAAATTGTTTGTTTGTTTTTTCTGAAAAATAACATGTATTATCTGTGTGGCCCTTAAATGCAAAAGAAAGTAGTTATTGTAAATGGAGACATGTTGTATTGATGTCTGGATATATGCCGTTAAGTTTGTTCTGTAATTTGTCTGTTGTAGGGCGTGGTCGAGAAAACAAGGAAAATGAGAAGAACTTGGAAGAAGGTCGTGAAGGGTACAGACGAGGTGGTGGGAGGATGATGAATGGACCAGGAAGGTCAGGCAGGGGTGGACGAGGAGGTGGCAGGCTTGGTCCCCGAACTTTCCAAAACAGAGATAAGGGGGGGTTTCCGAGATCCATAGATACTTGGAACAATCCAGGTGCAGATGAGAACACTGGTGAATCCCTCAAAATGGGTAAGTTAATTCAATTCTGTACCAAGTCTTAACATCAGGTGAAGGTTGGCAGTGTTAGTGTATGTTAGTTTTTGTACATTACTGTTGTAGTATCTTCCTATATACATGAGGGACATTGGACTGTTTCATCCAATGAAATACTGTATTGAAGCATAATATTATGTATTGTATTAATAATACATGGTTACATCAACATCCAACAACAGTTCACAGATTCTGTATCTCAAATATAAGCAACTGTCCACAACAATACTATAGGCTACCAAGAATAACGGCCTCACCAGCCGCATGTGTACAATAAAAATATGTGAGCTATATGACCTCTAAAAGTAACCCACACTGCAGCAAACATGAAACTATAAGTGAGCAAAGCATATCTTTTCAATTTTAACCACTGATAAAGTTTTAAAATTTCTCACAAAACCATATACGTATCAGTTTTAAGAATTTAATTTAAAAATTTGCCAACAGAATGAATAAACAGTTAGGTAGAAAATTAATCTAATACCAATATGAGGATGGCCATTTAGGGCGAAACATGTCATTAAATAAGAATAATTATATAATATTGATTATATACCATTTTTTTTTTGACAGAATGCATACCCATGCTAATTTACAGTAAAAAAACTGTTTGACGTTTGTGAGTACAGGAGCTTATGTAAACATGAGAAAATCTTCAGCAGTACAGATAATACCAAAGATGTTTAGTGTTAAATTATTTTTTACTTTCATGTGTACATGTTAACCGCCTATAACTTAGGAAGTTTATTCAAAGCATAACAGTCCTGGTTCACTCTGTTATTATTATCTGTAAATGGGATAAAATCAATTTTGTTTAATTATCTAAATAAACATAAGGATTATAGGTAATGTTCGTTGGATATAACATGTGAGTTTCATTGTTGTAACTTTCATTCAAAATGATTTTCATTCTTATTTAGTTGAATGAGATGTAAAGATAAATGCATTGTGGTCATCACATAAAGTGTCCTCTACTGTTATCCAGTTGTAACCAAAACTGGGATATAGATACTACTCATTATATGTGAGTTTGGAAAATCTTATTTCATTTTTATGTTGTCATTTAATTTAGACCTGTTTCATTTTACTGTGATCAGCTAATTTAGACTGAGTTCAGTTGATAATACCTGTTTTAATGTGAACTGCTTGCTGGCCAATTGAGAGAGGCGGGCAGAAGGGAAAGTTGGTTATTATTTTGTGTATGTGTGTGCACGCATGTAGGTGGAAGAGGAATGCAAAGGGAGAAAGGAAAATTGTTTTTATTTATGTGATTTCACCCTCTGGAGCAATTTTTTGTACTATCACTATTGCATAAATTAAGGAATACCCATGTTTCAAGAGATTCTGTTGAAAGTACCAAGCATAAATTTCATGAAAATATGTTTAGTGGTTCTCGAGTTGTTACATGCAGATGGATAAACGAACATGATAAAGCTGATAACTGCATTTTCATGACTTGTTGCAAACACACCAAAAAGAATAAATATTGCCACACCTCTGTTATGTTTTAAAGCCCATTGCTGTATAGTAATGTACATAATTAGAAGTCACTCTTGAAGATTATGTGTGTCAACAATTTTCAGATATTACTAGTGCCAAATATAATGAAAATTTGTATGAATTTTATCAGTTTCCATTGCAGCAATGTTGCGCTGTCCTTAGTTGTATTTTCACAAGTGGATTGTGGTCACAGAATGCAGCAAAGAATAAATAACATTTTGGGGAAATGTTTCATTGAGAATTTGTGGAGATGTAGTAATTGAGACAGACCATAATGTAAAATGCTCATACAATTGCTGAGGGGTGGTGTAAACCAAGATCTTCATTGCAGCCTTGGAAGCCATTGACATTGGATTGAGTTTATGTTACATTTGAAGTGTTTATGATAAGGAGGATGTTGTTCTCTGTTTTCAGTATATTGAACATTAATGCACACAACTGAAGTATGAGGCTAACACAAATGACATTTTCATATCCTGCAGATATGCATACTTCTTTATGAAATTTGAACTTTATTAAATAAAAATTGTAGGAGTTACAGACCTTTCATTGGGGCAGGCAGTAATGTAGTTGGTTGAGGCACTGTTCTGCAAGCCTGAAAGTTGTGTTTTCAGTTCCTGATGAGGTTGTTCGATTTTTCAATCAACCTCATTCTTCTGGCCGCACTATAGCCCTGGGGTACCAGGAATCTTCCTGAGGGTAAAGGGTGACTGGGGCATATGGCTGACAACCTCACTGCTGTCTGTGAGCCAGTTGTCTAGAAAATGTGAGATCCTCGACATCTCACAACCCAGTGGACCTCCACGGCCTGTTATAGGGATAGCTTTGTATTTACCTTGTAGACCTTTTGTTACAAGCATGCATTTTTTTGTAAGTATGAAATCAAGTAGCTTATCCACATGTTATTTTAATTGTTTAATGGTGCTAATGTCACTTCTGTCTCATAAGTTTACATGGCCATCATGTTTGTATTATTGATGGTGGGAGATTGTGAACGTGGCAAAGAAGAAACGTAGCCTGCAGGTCATCTCATTGTATCTTTCAGTTTTGGTTTGGCGTTCTGTAGTTATCTAAGCCCAAAAGGGATCTGCAGGTGAATGAGTTTGGGAGAAACTTTTCTCATGCATTATTATATATACCAGGACATTTGTGCTTGAAAGCATTTTGTAATGTTATGTTTTATTCTGCTTGGATATAGAGAAGTGGGGTGATGACTTCCCATCACCAGAAGACTGGGATAATGAAGAGTACACTGGATCTCTGGCAGACAGTAAAGTGTTTACTCCCAGTGGTGGAGCACTGGAGTCAATAACAAACTCGGAATCATTGGTTGTTGAGTCTACTAACCCCGATCTCTCATCTTCACTGACAGTTCAGAACTTGTCAAGTAGTGTGGCATCAAGCTCAAGTCAGATGTCACAAAGTCTCGATCTCCACCAGCCTCCCAGTCAGCTGTCACAAGTGAGTTATACCGTTAATTTAAGCAGTAAATAATTTCATGTGATAATCCACAAGAATACACTGATATGTTGGGATTTTGGACTTCATCCATCGTCCTGGTTTTTAAGATAACAAATAAAAACACGACGTTTCGGAAACTGGATCTGTTTCCGTCCTCAGGTGAAGGAAAAACCTATTCAGTTGGGTCCCTTAGAAAGAGCTAGCCTCCATCACTGTCCAGTGATTGATGATTGACGATTGATGAAGTCCAAAATCCCAACATATCAGTGTATTATACACCATCGTCAGAATCCTATAGTAACTATCCACAAGAATGTTTTGTTTGTTAATCAAGTGAATAATAGTTTCACATTAAAGATTTACATTTTCTGGCTACCTACCTTATGAATATAATGTCTTTATTTTTTTAGTATGAAATTTAGGATAACAGAAATATCTATTCAGAATAGGAATTGAGTTCTTTTGGAGGATACTCATAATCATCTTAACAAAATAAAACCTTCATAATTCATAGATAGAAATATTGGATGTCATTAATTCATCAACCGTAACTGTTGTGTTGTTTAACATTTTCCTTAATTACAATATATATAAATGACTGAAGCATAGATTATGACACAGGGTAAAGAAATATATGCACTTTGGTTTGAAACAGGATCAAATTAGGTGGGAGTGCATACCCAGTTTCTACTTTCAAGACTCGAGAGCATTGACATGAAACCTATGGAAGAAATATTGTCACGTGTACGAGTGACTCAGAATGGGGTTTTGGAATGGATATTGATTTTATTGACCACTTACAGATCAAAAATAAAAGTAACTGTAACAATCTTAGCATTACACACTCCAGGTATCACTAACTACACCACACACACAGTTTTCGCTTCACAGCCTGACTTTCAACAGACTAGCTCCCAGGCTGGCAGCTGTTTCACACCAACCTCCTAGTCTTTTTTTTTTTTTTTTTCCACAGCCTGACTTTTAACTGAGCACTGAACTCGTTGCTACAGACCATTCCAATTATATAACATCTCAGTGTGGACCACACTGAAAACGCTGATCCTCTGTTGCTGTTTAGTCGTTGCTTATTAAGAATCTGCTGGCTGGCAATGGTCAGTCTGTTGTTTGTTTCTCACTCACTGCCTAGAAATGGATATTGTTTCAGAACTGTTCGCTAGCAATACAATTTCTCTGGCTCTACAGCTCTTGCTTTTAACAAATGTGCCACATTGCTCCCTCCTTAAGGCCACTTGCCCTGAGTAGCCTATTGGTCTCACCTTCCTCCCTGTGGCTTATTTCTCATGTTGAATACCCTGCAATTGCTCCTGCTGCTCTCTTCTTAAGGCTGTTTGTCCTGAACAATTCTCTCCTAAGGTGCCAGTGGCTCCAGGTTTATCACAGTCATCTTCCTCCAGTCAGTGCAGGCAGGAGCTCATAGAATGTTCAGTGCTCCTGGATACTCAGTGCAGTTTCTTCTTTAATTTCTTAGGGGGCTGACCCCTCCACAATGTCCAGTCACTCATTTTCTGCAGTCTGATGGAAGTTCCAACTCTTTGTTTTGCAGTCTCTAGCTCTATGATCTGCCTGAAAGTCTTGTTGAGTGTTCTCCTGCTTCCTGGATGCCTCATTCCCTTATTACATTGATGCGTTCAGGTTGTGCTTGACATCTCTTCCCAAACGTTCATCTTTTAGGGATTCCGGTTGCAACATTGTCCCTGTGTGTCCCTGACGACTGTGTTCTTTGTGCAGGGAAGGTGTGATAGATTGTCCCTCTGTGAGCAGTCGCCAACTTCTGGGACCCAGCATTGCCCTGGGTCCATTTCCTGAGCTCTCAGTGTTACTCTACAGCTAGATGCTAGTCCCCATACCACTTCCTTAGTGCTCCAAAAGCTTTCACTGTGGCCTCTTCTGTAGGGGATCCTTGATTCTCTGCTATGGCCTCTGACTTTTCTCAATTGGCCTCCAAATCCGTGGTGTCCATTTTGTTCATCCTTTCTTCGATGACATCCCCCACAGTCTTCATTTCTTCCAGGCTGGCCTTCATCTTCTTTCGGTTGGCCTTTGCCTTTCCTAGGCAGGCTTCCATCTCTTTTTGGCAGGCCTTCAGCTCTTTTCGCTAGGTATTCATACTGGCACCCATTCTTTCCTAATGGGCATCTATCTCAGCTATTATTTTTTCTTGAATGGCCTCTGTTCTTCCTTGGTGGATATCTGTCCAGGAGATAAGAGTACTTTGAATGGTTTCAAACTTCTCATTATAGGTTTTTATTTCAGTCCTGTTCTTGGCTTCCAGTCATGATGTCAGTTCTTTCATTCCTTATAGAGTGGTGTCCACTCGGTTGGTTCTTATTTCTCCTTTCATTTCCTTTATATTTACATCTTCTTGGCTTCCATCCTGGCCAGCATTTCTACTTGGTTGGCGTCAATTTTTGGTCAGCATTTCTTGGTTGGTTTTCATGTGTCTAGTTTGGCATACATTTTTTTCTCTGTTGGTTCTGATTTAAGCCAGCAGGCTTGTCATCATTTGTTCTACTTCCATAGTGTGGCGGTTTAACAGTCAAGGTCCAGTGCAGAGTCCAGTCCAACCACTTCTGACTCCAGTTATCAGGTGTCTGAGTTGATATCGACGGGGTTTTGGATTTATTGACCACATATGGATCATAACTAAAGTAACTACGAGGGTCAGTCAAAAAGTTCCCGGAATGGTGGCATAACATTCTAATGGCAGGACATATGGCAATGCTTACATAATCACCTTCAAAGTAGGACCCTTGCGCGCTCACACACTTGCTACATCGATCCTGCCATTGTTGGAAGCCGTGGTGGAAGGCCTCTTTTGGAATCTTCCAGAGGTCAGCCGTCAAATTCGATTTGATGTCCTCCATGGTTGCGAAATGTGGCCCCATGAGGCCCATTTTCAGAGTAGGGAACAGCCAAAAGTCACTCGGAGTGAGATCCGGAGAGTACGGTGGTTGAGTGATGACAGGAATGTTTTTCTCGGCGAGGAATTGCTGCACAACAAGCGATGTGTGGCTCAGTGAATTATTGTGATGCAGAAACCACTGTCCCTGCCACTTGTTGTGCCATTTCCTCCAAACTGCAGTTGTGCAACCTCTGAAAAACTTGCATGTAGAAATGGCCGGTAAGAGTACCAACTTCTTGCTCATTCTTCAATCATAGCGAATCAGTTGTCGCACTTTTCCATTTTTCTTTGGTTCTGGATGTTGAAGGTCTGCTGCTGCGCTGGTCATCCTCTAACGTCTCCTGCCCATTCTTAAACCGGGAAAAGCAGTCATAAACTGTGGATTTCTTTAGTGCAGTATCAGCGTAAACTTGCTGCAGGGCTGATAGCGTCTCTGAAACAGATTTTCCCAATTTGCACATGAACTTGATGGTTGCACGCTGTTCGAACTGCGACATTGTGCCGAATGACCAACACTCATGTCTAATTCAAACAGAACAGTAACGACACTGCACACTGAAACCCGTCCACACCTGTTGCGCCTGCGAGCAGACATGCTGATTCCACCACAACATTGTATCTTATCGCTCGTTCTCGGTCTGCAGGGGAATTCCGGGAACTTTTTGCCTGCTCTACATATAACAGTTTCATGGAATTACATACTCCAAATATCACAGTAACTACAACACACATAAAGTCTTCTCTGTTTTCACTAGATGTTTCCTGGCAACTATAAGAGTATCACTGAATTACACACTCCAGATATCACTAACTACAGCACACATAAAGTCTTCTCTTCACAGCATGACTTTCAGCTGAATAGCTCCCAGGCTGACAGCCGTTTCACACCAACCTTGTAGTCTTCTCTTCACTGCCAGACTTTCAGCTGAGCACTGAACTTGTTGCTTCATACCACCCTGGTTATAATATCTTGGCACAGACCACACAGAAAACACCATTCCTTTGTTGCTGTTGAGTTGTTATTAAGAATCTGCTGCCTAGCAATGGACGTTCCATTGTTTGTTCCACAGCCGTGTCCTAGAAATGAATGTTGTTTCAGAGCTGTTTGCTAACAACAGCTGTTTCATTGGGTCCACAGTTCTTATTTTGAGCAAGTGTGCAGCAATATTTTATGCCAGCAAAGCAAATCATTAAAATTTAGTTATTCAAAACATGATGTTTGCTTGAAACAAGACTTCCTATAATTTTGAGTTACATCTTTCAGCTAGCAGGAAACCTGACTGCAGTTTTAATCTGTGTAGAAGATTCATTTGTTGTTACATGTAGAATATGATGCGAGGAATTGTATATTGAATTGGGGGGAGGGGGTTAATAGGTGGCATGGATAAAATGACGGGGAAATATGGTATAGTTAAGAAAATCCGTTATAGCATTTTTAATAGTGGTAGTAAAATGGTTTCAGTTACTCATGGAATCATTGTTGTTCTTCATAGTTTAAACATACAGATGAGTGATCTGCAGATTTTTAGTACAACCCAAAATTTCAACATCACCTACACTACAGCTGCCCAGCTTCCACCTCCTTCCATCCCTTTAACTTACATGTATGTGCCTGTGATCCAGTGTAGAGTTCACTTCTGTCTCCTCCTCAGTCTTGCAGCTGGTAACTTTCAAAAGTTATCATACATTAATAGTCAGAGGTATTCTCTGTCAACAAACATTACTTACTCATGGAGCTGAGCCCTTCTTGAGGAGCTGCCAATTCTACAGCTACTCAAGAATTTCCCAGCAATTTGTGGAACCCAAAGGGTCATTACTGTGTTCACAAGAGCCCTCCACTGGTCCAAATCCTGAGCCAGATCAGTCCAATCCATGCCGTCCCATCCTTTCTCTCTAAGATCCATTCTAATATTTTGCCCATCCACCTATGCCTTGGTCTTCACAGTGGTCTCTTTCCGTCTGGCTTTCCCACCAGTGTCAACAAATATGAATGACAAATATATTCAACATCTGGTATTGTAGTACTTTTCATACATAGAAGCAATATCCTTTCTTTTTAAGTGGTAAAATTGACATTATACAAGTATTTGTCAGTTTTATAACAGGACTTTGCTAGAAGATGAATGCTGGATCATTGTGACTTGGGTATTTTATGTGTTGTGGATTACCTAGTTAATGTTCCTTGGTTTGAGTTATTCTGCCATTTAACATTTAACTTCATTGATCGCAAATCAGTATTCTGAGTGTTAAATTACCTTCATTTAAGATCTTTCTCAATTTAATGTCCATATCTAGTGATCCCCAAAGAAACCTAAAATGGAGGTTTCACTATATATATATTATAATTGCTGTGTTTAAGCCCACGTGTTTTAAATGTGTATTGGTACCTACTATACTGCATATTTATTTCATGGCAGAGTCGTTCAGTGGAATTTAAAAAATAAAGCATGACCGAAGAAAACCTCTCAGGTACAGGCAGACCTGCCTTTGTGTGAATCTTCAAGAAATGAACAATTCATGTTTATGAACATTGCATGGAGAATAATAAATTGTGACTCCCAGTTCATTCAACGAACACAGGAACTTGCTCGTATGAATTTTAACAAGTTAACGTCAACAAATTTGACAATGTATCTTATAAAAAGAATAAATTCAACTTAACATTCAACTTAGAAACACTTTTCAAAGAGAAGATGTTCATAAGTTAGGGTTTGCCTATACAAGAAGTACAGACTTCCTTGCCTGAGCTATAGTTTGTGTTTTTGTCACTGCATGGAAGGCTTTTACTGACTGAGTGTATTTCATTAAAATGCATTTCATGTACTAATTTGTTGCTGTGTTGCAGTAGGTACGTATTGATGATAGTAGGTATGTTGTATCAGCTTTACTTGTGTAGTAGATTAAAATCAAATAGCCTTGGTTTCAGAGCCCAGTTCCTGTTGTGGTCGCACCTTTGACTGCAGTCCCGTCAGACTACTTGAGTCAGCTAACACAAGCAACTGAAAATTTAAAGTCTGCTGTAGGAATTGGTACTAGCAGCTCTGCAGCGGTAGCAGCAGCAGCTGTATCTTATGGCACATCCAGTAGCAGCTATCCAGTTACATCATCGACAGCATATCAACCTCCGAGTCCTCCTTCTGGCTTTACTTCCACATCAGGTAAGACAGTCTTGGTCATAAGATGCTGCAAGTATTATAGTTGCGCATAATTCGAGATATGCCAGTATGATGTGAACTACAGTATGCGCCAAAATATGCAGTACAGAAATGAAGAGATGTCCTGTTGATACCACTGTCTATTCATGTGAAGGTCCCTTGCACAACAGAACCTTCTCAAATCCTGAAGAAATAGTCCAGTCATCATGTCCCTGTAGTGTTTTTGGGTGATGGTAAGAGCATTGCCTTCCTCATCCTCAATGAAATAGGGGCCTAATATACCGTGTTCTGAGATGGCATACCATATCGTCACACGTGTACTATGTAGCGGTTTCTGGACGATAACGTCTAGCCGCTCAAAACCAAGGAAGTGAGTTGTCTGGCAACAACTTCTGTATGAGCAGAAATAATACTCAATTATGAATACTTTTTCCTCCGTCAAGAGACCCATTTCGAACAACAGCTGCACAACACAACTTCCTTTTCACTATTGGGAACACGTGCAGCTTGAGCTATGCCCCGTCAACAAACGCACGTGCGCCAGTTTCAGTACTGCATATTTTGGCGCATACTGTATTGGATGCCAGTAATGAAGGTTGTACTAATACTGTAGCTGCACATATCTCTCTTTAACCCTTTTCCGTCTTATGTCAATATATAATTGACATTGAGACAGTGCTTCCACGGGTGAATGTCAATGTATGATTGCAAAGTTTCTTTCATGATCCTCCAATGATATGTCTTGTCATACATCGCTACTTGCCACTGTACACTACCACTGGAATCATGAATGTTTAATTTGCATTCTTCTGTCATCTGGAAGTCATAATTTGAACTACTTGAGGAATGAATGCCATTTATATATTACTGTGTATCAGTGTTAGCAACATGGCTTCGTATTCAAGCACAAGCGTGTTTTCTGTTATGAAAAAACCGAAATATAATGCTGTATGTGTTGAGAATGAAGATTCAGTTATTGCTTTGTTAAATGAAGAACTCAGTATAGACTGATGATCAGATGGATTTGGAAAATGTAGGAGAAACTGTGAGTGAAGAATCTAGCAATGAAATGTTGAAAATTGACAGCGAGAGTGAAACAAGTGTTCTGCGTGTTGATGGGTGGGAAGATATGACAATGAGTGACAAGAAACCCAAGGCATACACATTTATTAAAAATGCAGGGCCACAGTTTACCTACCAGATGCAGAGCCCATGTATTATTTTAGTTTATTTTTCAATGATGAGCTTTTGAATAACATTGTTATAGAGACAAACAGGTATGCGAGACAAAATTTCAGAACTTCAGCTTATCCCAAGGTCTATTTGGAGTAGCTGGTCTGATGTGTCAATTCCTGAAATGATGGTTTTTTAGGTCTAATTATAAATATGGGCCTAAAGCCATTGCCTGACATAAAAGACTGTGGGATGTCATTATATGAAGAGACAGTCACCTGTTGAACTGTTCTATAATATTTATTATAGTTTCACAGTATACACAGATGAACTTGAGTTTGAAGAATTGAAGAATAACAATAACAATAGTGAACTCTGTAACACCTTGAACGTTGTATTGAAACGCAGCAGTGAACTAGAACTGTAGAACTGTAGGACTATTCGTCTACCATTTTTTGGTGATGTAATGTCTATTTGTAGATATTTTAAATGATACCACCGAAGAAAACAACGGGGCCATCAAAAAAGCAAGGAAAGTAGATGGGGTGATAGAATATAGAGAAACAGTTTCAGAAATATTTTATGCCAGGTAAAAACATTGCAGTAAATGAATTAGCAGTTGGGTTCAAGGGCAAAATAATTTTCAGAACTTTCAATTCAAAAAAATCTATGAAGTGGAACATCAGATTATTTACATTAGCTGACAGTGACATTGCTTATGTTCGCAATATAATTCTGCATTACCGAAAACTTACAGGTGATGTGTGTAACTTGCCATACTCAGAAAAACCTTTCACTTCAAGAATGGTTCTTTCCTTGATGGACAGATTAGAACTCAGTGTGTCTGGTATTGAAGTCTACCACCTTATCACTGACAGATATTGTAGCAGTGTTCAGTTGGCCGAATTACTGGACAGTTGAAAATGCCACACAACAGGCACTATTATTGCTGGTAGAGTTGGCAGTCGAAAACCAGTGAGGAAGGGGGCCATGAGGAAAATGAAGGGTGGGGACACGTTTGCCTACAGAGGAGGGAATGTCCTGTTATGGGCTAGAAAGACAAGAGGGTGGTTCTCATGATGTCTACATATCATGCTACATCAATGGAAAAAATAGTGACCATTCAGACACAGGGGCAGCAGAAAGAAATTCAAAAGCCAATGCGTGTCCTCAACTATATAAAGCATATGGGTTGGGTAGATTACACTGATCATTATGGAGAAACATATGCTTTAATTCCAAAATCTCTGAAGTTGTGGAGGAAACTCTTTTTCTGGTGCCTGGAAGTATGCAGTGTAAATTGATACTTTTGTACAGCAGCCATAAGCCACATGAGAGTGAAACAAATGTCATATCAAGTATCGAGGAGCTCTTGTTGAAAATCTAGTAGGTGATGTGTGCAACCCAGAAAGGGGTCACATCTGGGGTCAGCTGAGAGAGAAGAGAGACTGAATACAGTGCCTCACTTCCTCTACCACTATAAAAAAGGAAACAGCAATTGGAAAGTCAAGGAGCCAGAAAAGAAACATACTTCTATGTAAGACCTGTATAAGTCAACTGGACCTGTGTCCTGGGGCATGTTTCGAAAGATATCACGCTCTGAAGAACCTTAAAAAGTTTTAGTGTAGGTCCCATAGTTAATCTAGTTTTTGTTGCTTGTTTACATAGAAGAGAGAGTTTTATGAGGAAAGGAATATATATACTACTCTGTCCAAAAAGTATCCGACCTTGGGTCAGGAAAACAACACTGGTCACCGTCCGCCAACATACGGCCATCTTTAAAGCAGTTGAACCACTTTAATTTGAGTGATCCCCATTTGCATCATTGCCAAAAGCCTGCTGAATTTTGCGGATTGTTTCCGCTTGGGTATCCCCAAGTTTCTGACAAAACTTAATGCAGTATTGCTGCTCCAAGCACTCTGTCATCTTGAGCAAAATGAGAATGCGATGAACACTTGTTACACCACTTCGCTATCTGGCAGCCACAGACGCATCCGGCAGTGTTGCGAGTCAGAAAAAATCATGCATGCGCGTGAAAGTCCCTTCTACCACTACCCTCAGTTTCCCCACCCCTTTGGCAATTACTTACAGCCACAAAAAATAAAATCAGATACTTTTTGGACAGCAGTGTATATTTTATACTAGAGAACGGCAGACAATTTGAGCCGGTGAAATATTACTACCTCTGTCCACACTTGATTTCATACAGGGCAGAGAATTTGTCTTCTTGAATTGTGCTGATAAGTACACATTTTGCTCCCCCACCCCCACTTTATGTCCTTATTGCACCAACTTTTTGAGGCAAACAGCTCGCATAGTGGCTCTGCAGGCATTTAAAATCCCTTGACAACCTGGCTGCAGAATATTTTCCAAATACAATGACCCGAAAGGATGAAATCAGTTCAGCCTGCCATGTGTTCTAATAGCTATGTGTGTGACAAAAATTGGTTCCAAGTTTGCCGAAAATGCTCATGAAAGATGAGCGGTCTGAAAGATAAAAATTAAAGTCTAGTGATGGGTATGAAATTTTTAAGAAACATTAAAAAGAAAATGGAGTGACAGGATGAAATGATTGTGGATGACTTAAAGAATTAGATGTGAAGAGATTTGTTTAGACATAACTGTCATTGGATACATGTAAAATAGCTTGAACTCTTAAATTCACAAGTGAAATTAAAAAAACTTGATTGTTAGTACAGATGATGTCTTATAGTTGAATTAAAGTTAAATTTGAAATTTGCATTGAAGTATTTGGTTGAGGCACTATGCTGTAAGCCGGAAGGTCGCGGGTTCAAGTCCAGATGAGGTCATTGGAACTATTTCAGTAGACCTAATCCCTCTGGCTGCACTATGGCCATGGGGTCGATTCAGCCTCTAACAGAAATCAGAACCAGGAATTAATTAAATAATTTTCCTGTGGGGTAAAGCGTGGCCGGCACAAAAGCCTGACAACCTTACTGCCATCTTTGAGCCAATTGTCTTGATGATGTGGGATCCTCAACGTCTCACAACTAGACCTCAGCGGTGGGAAGCCAGTGACTAACTGCTTAAGCTGTGGCGCGGCCTTAGAGATAATATTGGTCAATTTGGTGATACCACCGGTATAACGTTTCACTGTAGACTCTACACTGTAACATCTCATTACATCTGTTCTCCCTTCTTGGTGCAGCTTCTTGGCATCTGAAATCTCTCCAGAATAGCCCATTCAGGTATATCTCTGACTGTGTTATCTTGGTTGCTGGAAAAAAGAAAGGAAAATTGCGCATTAGGGATTTCCAAAACCGATTATTAATGAATTGTGTGATTATATTTGAATAGTGTTTGTCTCACACGAGAGAAACTCATCCACTTTATAAAAACAATGATCAAGTAGGTAAGTTTTCAAGGCGTTTTTGAACTTATATAGTGTACCTACAGTCCATTCGCGGAGACGAGAGAGTCCTTGTAAACAAATGCACGCGGTATCTCTTTCGCTGTTTGAATGAAATCTTGCAGCGATCACGTGATGCATGTACAATTGCAGGGGCGTTCAAAGTTCACTCTTCAGTCTGAATGCAGGTTAACGTGCGTCCGAATGCAGTGAGTACACTGAAGTAACTGTGTGCTTTGTCCACTCCTTGCTGTCAGCTGTGGCGACGCGGGGCTTGCTTTGTTATGCTGTCTCGTCTCCGCGAATGGACTATAGTGTGAATTGTAACTGAATTATTTTGTTTCTGTTAGTGAAAATTTAAACTGTACTTTCAGTAATTCAGGATTACATTTACAAGGAAATTAAAGAGTGTATCAAATCAAGTAGTATGAGCTGGGTGAGACATGCAGTATGTGTTGTAGGGATGAGAACCCTTGGAAAATCGGCGTGGATATTATTAAAATGGATCTTAACAAAATAGAGTGGGGGTTTAGGCTGTATTAATCTCATAATGTGTGTGTATTAACAGTCTTCAAGTGCATACAATCCCATTTACCATTTCTACAATAGATGTTTCGGCAGTATGCTGCCATCTTCAGGTGTATCGATCCGTCAACTATTTCACTGCTTGCCTTTATATGTCCATTTACAAATAGTATTAAATTTGTATACATCGTTATATAATAATAAAGTATTAATGTATTAATCTCTGGATCTGTTGGTAGGCTGTTATGAACATGGTAATGAACCTTTGGCTACCATAAAAAGCAGGAAATAACTTTAATTAGCTGAGTGACTCTTAGCTTCTTAAGGAGGACCAAAACAGTATATATTTTATGTTGAATTAATATTTGATTGCTGTAATTATAGATTTCCAAGGATTGTTTTTTCATTGCCCCGATGTTCAGGGTGTCATCAGTCTTTGCAGTTATTTGTAAATATGCATGTTAGAAATTTTGTTCTAGTTGGGCAAAAATTCAGTGTGAATCCAAATATTAAATTTTCTGTAGTGCTTCCAGCATTGATAATGGACTGTCTTGTCTTCTGGGTTGTTATTCCCAACAGAACCACTTGTGTGAAATGTACTTCCTTGTATTTTAATGTAATTGTGTATTTTCTATAAGGTGGTTGTGGAAGCGATTTGTAGTTTACATATTCTGAAAAAAGTGTAGATATTGCTTCAGCAGCAAGTAATTACTATTTTTCTGCCATAATGTGGCAAAGGAAAGAGTGTGTTGGTAGGGAATTACTAATGCTGGTTTTTGAAAAATACAAGTGTCATTGCTGTTCTGAAAGATTTGACAGACCAAGACCATAGTATTGCCTATAAAAATTTTATATCATGTCACAATGTGCTCATCTGAAAGCCTTGAAATCCCCATTATCATTGTCAGATGAATAGTAAATATCTTTGGAATTTAGAATCAGAGAACAGTGTGATGGGGAGGATCATGGCATGTCTCAGGCAGGTAGGCACTGGTTTTTTCACTGTGAAACCACACAAGTCCAATCCTAGATGCCTTAATGTGAGATTCATTGTACATGAAATGGCACTGGAACAGAATTTTCTCTGATTTTCTTCAGTTTTCCTCCATGAATTACCATTCAACTGTTCCACACTTGTCTATCCTTGTCGTGTGATGTTTGCAATAGCTTTGACCAGGCAGCACACTGTTGCATCCATGCTCGTATAGTTCGGGGGTTTCATCTCTGATCCAGTACTTGGCTAGTTACAGAGTAACAAAGTTTCTTATAATTTAGCATTGAGGAATACGAGTTTGTGTGCCTTTGTTGTAATAAGTGATGTGGGTATCTCAACAACACATCTTTCCACCACTTGTTATATTTTGTTACCAACTGGCTGACCCTGTTGGCACGTTGCAGGTCTAAAACTACACGTCACAAATAATATATTTTGTAAAGCCAATGTTTATTTTATTAGTGAATTAGGGATGATAATTCAACAGGATTTGTACATGTGCCTCTTTCAAGCTAATGGAGAAAATTCTTCTGTTTCAGCATCGTTTTCCACTTCAAATTTCGTTGGGTCTGCAAACAGTTATGGAAACCAAATGCAGGAACAAAATTTGGAATCGTCATCAGTTACAGCGCAGTGTCCAACTCAGACAATACCATCACGACCAAAAACACAGCGACCAAGGGTTCCTCCTCCTTCAAAAGTATGTATTGAACATGTTATATGTGCATATCTACTTACAGGTAGTATACACAGGATTCATATGGTTGAGGATAGTGACCAGTGGCAGGCTCCTTTGAGCATAGTCCTGAATCTGTGTGTTCCAGAAAATTCTGGGAAATGCATGAGTAGCTGAGTGACTGCTGGCTTCTCAGGAAGGATTCATGTCCATGGAGTAACGTAGTTAATATCTACTCACCACTTTCAGATGAAGCTGAAAATTCATCTGACTACCTTTGTAGTAGGGCATTATTTTATATGAGTATGAAAATTAGGAAGAATTTAGGTTTCAGGAGATTATGTGTGCTTGTGGATTTACTGGACTGAAAGAAATTGTGTAAAAGTGGAGCATTGTGGGTGTCCCTGGATCACCTGTAAAATTGCTGGAGGGAAATCATTTACCACAAAGTTTCAAATATTACAGATTAGTTTCACTTAATAGTACACACGAATAAAGGCATCAATATGAACAACCAGTTCTATATAAGTTTTACTTTGGAGAAAATCCCTGAGAAGCAGTAGGTCCATTCCACACTTCTGAACTGACCACTCTGAAAGATATTAAATGCATGGTAAGAATGACGTTCTATTGGAATATTTTTAGTGCACAAATTTAAGTTGAGATTTGATTTGTTATAGTGTAACACATGGAGGTTAATCTTTGGTCCATGTATATGAAACAAAATTATTTCATATATTTGGAAATAATTTCCTAACACAGACATTTTTTTGTGTAAATTGTTGTTCACCCATGGAATTTTTGTAATTTACGTAGGTGAGTCAATATGTAAGTTACAAATTTATGTGGGGTACTACATGTTTCAATGCTGTACTTGAGGCTGTCGCCAGTAGATGGCAGCATTAGTCCGGTGGCAAGTGATGACATTTGACACGAGATATTCGATGTTTACAAAAGCGAAACAGCAGTTGCAAGATGGCGGCTCCTCTGAGTGCGTGTATAACCCTCGAGCAATGCTCCGTTGTGCAATTTTTGTGGGCAAAAGGTATGGAATCAAAGAATATTCATAAAGAAATGCTTCCCATCTACAGTGAGAAGTGCCTGTCATGCCAGGCTGTTTACAATTGGGTGTAGAAGTTCTCTGAAGGGCGGACATGTATAGAAGACAAACACCGTGTCGGCCAGCCAGCGGAGATTGCCACAGAGGCAAATGTGTAATGAGGTGAAGACTGAAACCAAGCAGACAGAAGGCTAACTATAGACACTATAGTTACTGCTATTGGTTGTTCACATGGCATGGCTTACCTCATAATGCATTTGTTCGGCCCTCTCAAACATCATCTTTTGGCTGAACATTCTCCTGACGATGAAGCTGTAGAAAGGGAAGTCAATGCCTGGTTCCGACAGCAGCCCAAAGAATTTTATTCTGCTGGTCTTCAGGGGCTTGTGAAACGATGGGACAAGTACCTCAATGTACAGAGAGATTCTGTTGAGAAATAAAAACATTTTTCAAGTCAGTACTCTTATTTAAGTTCTATATCCATTTGTAACGTACTTATTGACTTACTCTCATAATAATGTTTCATTTTGAATGAAAAAGCTGCATTGACATATTCTTTGGCACACCAGGGCATATATCACTCCTTTACATTACTTAAACTGAATAGCCGGCAGAGTTTTCGGATTATTTGTCTCACACAAAACAAAATAGTAATACTGTCTTGTCTTGTTCCATTAGAACATTTTACAGTAATACATTTTATTGATCGTCTTCATGTCATCAGCTAGTACCATCAAAATATCTTACATTTTTTATTCGTATATGAATTTGTTTATATAATCATGTAATATTCTGACATTTTAAATTTAGTGATGGATTCAACACTAGATAATATCAGTCCCTTACAGGATTGTTATGATATCTATAATTTTGTGTTGCTGATTATCCACATTATGATGGTTTCGTTAAACTGAAACATTTCATGGAATAAAATAATGATGAGGTACGATACTGCTCCTGTTTGGTTTTGTGTGATGGAAATCTTTGTGAGAATTAGCTGTCGAAAACTGCTTCAGATTTGTCAATTCCAATTACCGTATTTACGCATGTATAGGCCGCATGCGTGTATAGGCCGCAGCACAATTTTCAGACAGAAATTATAGAAAAAATAATTTTCTTGGAATATTATTTCAGGAGTATTACTAATTATGAATATAATTTTTTTTAAATGAAGTGTGATTTCGAATATTTCGAATATAAGCTGCACCCCAGTTTTCCTCTTGAATTTTGGGCAAAAAATGTGCAGCCTATACATGCGTAAATACGGTAAGTGAATTGCGAAAACAATTTATTTAAAATCATTTCATTGTCACTGTTCAGGAATCTTTTCCTTGTTAATACAGATACATAATTTGTTAAGAGAGGAATATAGCTTAATCTAAGATGCAAGTAGGTACACAGAATGAACTAGTTAGTCATGGAACAATATAGTCAGCCAGCCTGAAGGTTGTGTCTGCATAGCTTTTGTTTTTAAAACCACAGAACTGATGAGAAGATTTTTAAGTTGAGGGAAGGTAAGAAGACAATTGATAAAAATTGACCCATACGAATGTGGCAAGAATGAAGAGAAGTTTTATTTCTTATGGTGTCATTTATTGTAAATTTTGTTTTCCTTGTGTGTATTGTGGATTTTATATTCTTTACAGATTCCTCAGAGTGCTGTGGAGATGCCTGGTGATGCGATAAACAGCAGTATTGGTTATCTGGATGTTCAGTTTGGAGGTCTTGAGTTTGGCAGTGAAACAAGCTCTTTTGAAACAACCACGGAGCAATCAAAATATCCCAGTAGTGTGTCTGGGTCTGTGCTGGATTCGATTCCATCTCCTAGAACTACTTCCAACTTAGATCTGAGTGGTACAAATCAAACATCTGTTTTAGAAGCATATTCAGGAACATCACAGAAAGCAAGCCAACCAAGCATTGCTTCAGCATTGACACAAAATCAGAAGGTCAGTAACATATTTTTATGTATTCAGTAGAAAAATGAAATGAATGGTTAAAGGTTAATGCAGCAGAATCCTAAATGGAAGAATAGAAACCAGGACTCACACGCACAGATACTGTGTTTGAAGAATCTGCAAAATATAAGATGAGATTGGAGTACTTTACTTAATGACATTAACCCTTCAAGGATGCAGGACATTTAATTCCTACTCGCTTCTGGGGCTGGAGGATATTTAAACATTAAAAATGAAAAGGGAAAACTGTATTTTTTATTGTAATTTTCACTCTACAGTCATAAAAGTGTATTGTATTGGAATGTTGATCGACAGTGCTTCCAGATTATTTTTGGCAGAGTAACCATGTACGAAATATGAATAATGGTATTGTCACATGTTTGGAATCCAGAAGACACTCCCATAGTAACGCTAGAAGAGACCATTGCATAGGTAACGACAATAGCGGTATTGTAGCCCCAACAGTTGACCGTTGCATAGGTAGCGACAATAGCGATACTGTAATCCCAACAGTGAGCCGTTGTGTCGAGAACATCAAATCTTCACGGTTACGACGAATGCACGGAGAATTCCCACAGAGACAATGCAATAACAATGGGTCGTTGCATAGGAATCGCGGAATCAACAAAGCAGCGTTCCCACGGTTATAACAAAGGCTCATTTGCATAGCAGCGGCCTAGGGTATAAAAGGGGGGTTGAATTAATTCGCCCAATCAGTCTGGAAGTTACCGCTGAAGTAGTCAGTCTTGGGATAGCTACCGCCGAATATAAACAGTCTACAGGAAGCTGCCACCAGAGGCAGTCAGGATCCAGCCACGACAACATAAGCAGCAAAGCATTGGGCCAGGAGCTAAGCGAAATAGAATTAGTTGTGATACTGCAAGTGGCAATTCTTGCAAAGTGTATAAGTGTAAAATCGAAGAACAATAAATACTCACGTGACGTGCCAAGACATGTTACAGTATTGTGTCACCTTAGAAATTCAGCTGGGTGTGGTAATCATGAGTACACTCCATGCAGAGCCCCATGTCACACCAGTGTACAGTGTCCTTTCCACGTTTTTGACACACAACACACCATTTCTGTGGTCTTGATTTCTTCTCAGTTGGTGGAATCTTATAAAATGTCATTCTGTTATATGGGCCACTATATTGTTTGATGAATGTCTACCCGACACTTTGCATTCTATGGCATTATTATATTTCACAAAGAGTCCCTCAATTAGCTGAATTTTAAATGACAATTGATCTATTCTTTTCCCCTTTTTATTCCTATATATTATCATTGCATTCAGTGTGTTGTTTATGATTTTCAGCGTCCTGACTAGAGATGATAAATTATAGAAATTATCCATCTACACAGTCGGGCCTTGTTTCAGCAGAGGTTCTAGTAGTTTGAGAACAATGGGTCTTGTTTTATTGGTGTCAGCTATAATCAAAGGGGAGTCAGGTTTTGTATCCTTGCCTGTGTATGCAAGGAAGGACTGTAAGGACCCTGTGGTGGCCTCACACACCTCGTTTTAATTCTAAATTTGGATGCCTTGAGAGGCAGGCACTGCTTGAAAGACAAGACGGCCTTTCCAAAGCATCAGTGATTCATCAATTGAAATGTCCAGGTTTGGGAGAAACAGTTCCAGAAATTTGTTATTTAGATGTAAAATCTCTGGGAAAATTTTAACTTTATTCATTCTGGTCCATCACACTAGTTAATTATTATAAAATGATTTGACAACGCTGTCCAGTGTGAATCACACTGGACAGTGTTATCAGGTCATTTTATACTGGGAAAATTTTGAAGTTTTTTAGTCCTTCAAAAGTGCCGATGGTTTCGTTAGTGAAATGCAAAAGTTACATATTACTTGCAGTCTCTCTTGTGTTGTAACATTTCCAATTCCTCCAACAAAAATTTTGCATCCTTCATAAAGTGTCTCACCCATGTACCTACCATTGATTCACTCATGGCATGTTCTCCATACACCTCACAAAGTTGACATTGAATGTCAGCCGGTGTTATGTTTCTTGCATTCAAGAATCTGATTATGGGCCTCATTTCACATGCGGTGGGCTTCTTTATATTCTTGAACATTGTAAACACACAGGGCAAATGCATAGACATGGTTTGAATGTCTGCATATGGCATCCGTGCCTTCCAAAAGGACCAACAAACTATGCACGCATGCTCACCATAGTGACTGCAGTGCTCTAGCGATAGTATTTGCAAATGGAACTTATTTTTTGATACACCTCGTATGAGCAGTGGTGTTTACACAGTCCATCATTCCCTGAAGAGAGCTAGAGAGATCTCTGAAATGTTTCATTTGAGTGTGAACTGATGCAACTGTTTGCCCAAGAAGAATGTGTCGCTAAGATAAAGTATAGTGAGTAAGCAGTATTTGCAGCCCTTGTTATTCATGTCATTTAGTACTAACTGTCAATTTTGAACCACATTGTAACTACAATAAAACAAGTACATCTTATAATAAGAGCTTCAGAAGTAATTAGCACCATCAGTTTTTTGTGTTACATGTATGGAAATATCTTGCATACAGTAATGTCTCTTTTTCTGGAACTTTTCTCGTAATCATTTTCTAACTAACCTTGAATTTTTCCCATAACTTTTTGCACCGGCTGTACCTGCAGTTTTGCTTTCATAGCCATTTTAAACTGTTAGTGTTTGAAGGTACTGCATATCCACTTCCTGGGTCCCTTCCTACTTCCCTGCTGGAAGCAGAGGTATTTATTTCATATACATAGACCCATTCTAATACATGATCAGAGAACACTGACTGACTGACTGACTGACTGACTGACTGACTGAGTGACTGCTCAGGCCGCACCATAGCTCAAGTGGTTAGTCACTGGCTTCCCACCGCGGCGGCCCAGGTTCGTTCCTGGGTCTGGTCAAGTGGGATTTGTGGTGGACAAAGTGGCGCTGGGCCGGGTTTTCTCCTAGTACTTCGATTTCCCCTGCCAGTCTTCATTCCACCAAATTTTCCATCATCATAATCACCTGGGGTAGGCTACAATAGGCCAATCAGTGGCCACTGTGCTGAGTGGACTCAGTTGGACTCCACCCCCACTAAGCAGCTGACAGCTCAAAATGTTAACAAAGCTGCAGTAGGGAACAGTATTTTTAGATCATCTATCATGATTTGACAGTTTTAAGGCCATGTCTCCTGAAGATTTTAGTGGATGAGAAATTTGTATTGTGTTACATCACCTGAACTTATTTTTGCTGTGGGAGCTGGTTCCATTGCGTATTGAGTTGTTTGGCAGTGAATGGGAGTTCAGCAATTTTTGTGTGATTGTGCTGCTTGTTGTTTGAATTGAAATGAATTGAACCCTGGAAACAGACCGAAGTGCTTAGACTTGAGTGTGAAGTTTTAAGTGATACATCTCTGCAGAGTCAGTTTCTAATGAAAGCATGAAGCAGCAAGATGGTATGATTGACTTATTTGGCATCGTTCACTATTTTGAAGAACAGAAACAAAATATGATCAGCTATTCAGTAGAATGGAAGACCAGTGATGCAAACAAATATGGAACCAAAGAATGATGATTTCAGAGTCTGTGCTCTTCAGTTGGTTTTATCAGAAGTAACAATATGTTGCCATACTATTTATGAAGGAAAAATACAACCATTTCAATCCATGGTTAAGGATTGAGAACTTTCACTGTATTGAAGGGTGGCATCACAATTTCGAAGCATCGAAAGATGTTAGTGTGCACAGAGTTTTAGGTGTCTTGGTTCTGTTTAGAACTGGCCCATAACATAACAATTGTATAAGTAGGTCCAGTTTGGTTTTTAATTTCCTCTTGTGTGGCAGGACTTCTGCATGTAATTAGCAGTCATTGTGAGTACAAACAGTTAATCTTTATCATCTTGCTACAAGTATTATTTTTTTGAACATTATCCATCGTCTTGTCTGTTTTTTTAAAAAACTGTCCTGAATAATGTTCAAAAACATAATACTTGTGGCAATATACCATCGTCACAAACTTTTAGATCGTATTTATCATCTGGGTTCAGATAATGCTAAAGAAACTAAGAATGTTCAGTGGTTCTTCATTATTTTCGCATCTTCATGATGGCAAAAGAATAAATGTTGCCATACCAACATAAATTTTTTAACCCTTAGTGTCATATTGTGATATATGTAATTAGAACTTACAAGACAGACTTTAAAGTTACATACCTAAGGTATTTTCAGATATTATGGAGTACTGATTAGAATGGAGGACCTTGCAGATTTTATAAATTCTCATTGTATTGTGATTACACTGTAACAGTACAAATTGAAATTTTTCCTTGTCTTCTTCAAGCTTGCTTTGAATTCTGTGTGCTAAATTGTGTGGTATATATAGGAAGAATTTGTGACTTAGTGGCTGCATTTGGTATTATCACGTATATTAGTGACTGTAGACAGGGTTTGGATTGGTGAATATATTTATTGGATAGTCACAGGTCGTAACTACAATAACACGCTAAAAATTACTGTAACTATAGCACACAAAATGAAGTCTTCAGTGTCTGCTTGGTAACAAATTGTTTCTGGTTACCACATCACAGCTGAGTACTCAGCTATTGAACCACCTTCTGAATTCTTTTATGAATGAATCACGACTTCCAGGTGGCCGGGCTATAAGTCACCATGTGGAACAGTTCCTCTTTTATTGCATGCTTATCTGTTGCTGCATGAACCATGTGTTAATTCCATGGCAACGCTTTGGTTTCCATATGTTTACAACTTTAATTTTTCGTATTCATGGAAACTGTGTTCTGTAACCAGTTGGTTTCTAAGAGTCAGTCTCTCTGTGGCAACATTTTTGCCAGTCTGTTTCCTAGAATTGGCCTGCATGTCACGGTATGAACATCTACTAAATGATATTGCAGAAGCTACGACACAAAGGTTAGGCAGCATGAAGTCTAAGAGTGGTATCATTATCATTGTATGTCATCATAAATATAAGTAATTGAAGGAGACGTGTTTTCCTCTGAAAGGAGTTGTGGAGCTGGGACAGGCTTGAACATATCTGTGGATGGAAGAAGGTGACATATTTTGGTCTCAGAAGATTAACATTGTTTATATTTTTTCATAATAACTACAAAATGGATATAAACACACACAGGATGTAACACTAAAATGCTGTTCTACTGTTGGCTGCAAGCCATTAGACTCATCATTAGTATGGTTAACATAGATTCTTTTAACAGAAACAGAGGCAGTCTGGGAATCACACTGAAATATGTATACACATACACTGTTAGAATTTAAATATTTTAATTTATTCTACATTGGTGGTTGGGTGTGACAGGTAGCATGATGTGACATTGAAGATCATGGTTATTGTTCATTTTAGCTGTCTGCTGCTGATACGATGCTCTCAACCTCTGAACATAAAGTAAGTCAGCCGAGTTTCTCTCAGAATCGGAGCTCTAACTCGGCAGGATTGGATATGGATAAGACTGAAGTGGGTCTCTCTTATTCTGCTCCAAACACTGTGACATACCAGACTTCATACCAGAGTCAGAAGTCCAGTGGAACAGGATACCAGCAGGCATCTGGCTACTCATCTAATTACTCTTCCACCCAGGTATCTCCAGACAGTAGTTCAATGGAACACTGCCAAGTGTGATTAGAGTGATACACCATTTTATTTATTTTTTTATTGCTATATGCAGCTGTCCTCTACTGGCACAGGTGAAATTATGCCAAAAAGGTGAAAGTAAATTTGTGCATGTGTGTAATTAAGCACCACACCATTGAAGATATATTGAAGAGTGGAAGTATAATTCCACACATTTGTAACTTTGGCATTAGATGGAGGTGAATGATGGGTTTTATGCATCACCTGCTTTCGCCTAAGGAAGGGGATAGTGATTCTTGTAGGATAAGGGACTGGGCCCCACAGCAGGTTTCGACATGTTGGGGAAGAGCAGAATCTCACCAGTGCTGGAAATCAGTTTCCAGTTGTTACTGGCCATTTGCCTCATTGCTGTGTTCAAAAGCCTATCATATGTCATATAACACCATGTAGTCTGTTTTGTGGGAACATATTATCTTCATCTCAAGGGTTGAGAACTGCTGAGAACCTGAAATCCTACTTAATCACTGTACTGACTGAGCTACTCAAATGGTAGGAAATACAAATTTGTATTCATAAAAATTGTAGAGTAATTAAAGTGACTGTTTTGTCTTAGTTATTGAAATTAAGGAAGAAAATTTTCTGGAACTGTTGCACTAAGAGTAACAGAAACAGTGTGTTATGTGTAGTGCCATGGCAGATCATTAACCATTCAGCTGACATTTATGCTTCCTATCTTAATTGTACTCGTTGCTTAGGCTACATTTCTAACAGAACTTCCTAATGTAACGTGATTTGTTCTGTTATATGTATTATTATTATTATTATTATTATTATTATTATTAGAGGGAGTGGGTTTCCCCATGCACTTAGACCAGTTATTGGTCCATTGTGCGTCCCCCTTTAATTTCTACTGTCGCCATACCCTACCGGTACTAGTGCGTGCTATCAGCCCCATTCAGCCAACGAGGTCAGCTGTCGGTACCTGATATTTCCCCCGTCTACCAGAGGCATTGAAAACTACTTGGGCGGGAAATTGTTACCTAATTTTGCTCAGAGGTCTCCTAGAGACATGAGGATCTTTTATGTGCCGTAAATCTACAACACGGGACCCACGGCTTAAAGTCCCTCCTGGAGGACTTGTTTCCTGAATTTTTCCGCCCTTAAAAATTCCACGACTTCCACCGGGTTTGAACCCGCATACCTTGAGTCATGAGGTGGGAACGTTACCCTTAGAGTACAGAGGCTGTTTTCTGTTCTGTAGATTATGTTAAATAATACTAGTGGGATGGGACTAAGTCCCTTGTACTGCGGCCACTTCTGGCCTATTGTACCACTTATGTTAAATATGTAGGTTATATGAAGACTGGTGGTGTTTGGTAATCAGTGTGAATGCTCATGTGAAGTAACGCAGTTCACACATGTTATGGAATTAAGAGATGGCATCTGTCATTATTTAGATCGAGAAAATGTAACATGTAATTGCTTTTCTTATAGGTTACATCATCCACGGTGTATCCAACAAACCAATCTCAGATGAGCTACACATCCAGTGGGACAGTCTCAAGCTACAGCAGCCAGCCCACAGCACCTAGCTCAGCATATCCAAGTAATTCCTATTCCCAGGCTTCTGCCGGAGTTGCCTACCAGACTGGTCCCACCTCATACCCTTCCATAAGTCAGTGTGTCAATTCATTCCCTAGTGGTACACCCTCATACCAGACAACAGGTCAGTCTGTATATGGAAGCTCAACTCTTGGTGGCTCTGTGAGCTATGCTGGATCCACAGGTGCAGGACAGTACCAAAACAATTATGGGGGTAATGTGGTGACGACATCTCAGAACCATACCAAACTCAGCTCCACACTCAACACTGGAACCAAAGAAGCTCAGGTAACGAATAAAACTGTTTCTTTAAATGAGTTTTATGTGCATGACTGTGGTTGCCCTGTTTTTGTTGTATAGTGTTTTTTATTTGTGTTTTAACACTTCTAATCCAGCTGTAGCACACATACCATGCTACTTGTATCACCAGGAAACCAACAGTATTACATATGACACTGAACTACAAACCTGTACTGTAAAAGAACTACCTGCAATGTTGACAGAATATTCACTGTTTGACAGCTATTGGGTGCATTTCTTCTCGGAAATGTTTCCAGAAAAGATCATAAAATATCAGTTAGAAGGAAAAAGAAATTTGGGAAGACCTTTGACACAATGGAAGGGTTTTGTTTCATAATATTACAAGAGGTCTTGGTAGGCCTAGTACTGAAAAGGAAAGTGAATTACTTTGTGTGCATTTCAGATACACAGAATGTGTTTCCTACCTTCCTTCAAGGGTCTTAATGGTGTACATGACAAAATATGTAAATGATTTAATATAGTTTTGAAAGAAGAAACTAATTATTGAAGTGTCAAGTTACATCTTTGTTTTGTGTGAACCCTTCATGCTAGCAAGACAGTTTTAATATTTGAATTTCCTGTGTTAGGTTCCAAATTGTTTATTTCTTTGTGTCAGATTATTGTACATTTATTTTTACTGTATGGCTTTCTTTTCTGTATAGTATGACACGACAACAACAGCAAATTCTAACTTAAGCAGCACAAATGTTACTACAACAAACAGTGGTCTTTCAACAAATGTCAATGCATCTCCTGCACTAGGGCTTGCGAGTAGCAGTCAAACTGTGAACACAACTTCTACCAAAGTAACAAGTTCCACAGGTAAGTAGTCATTGCTTCTGACTATGCAGTATTTACTTAAAAAAGATCTAGTTTTAGTGTAATGTAAGGATAGAATTGTGAGGCTCAAAGCTACACACCTAAAATTGAATTGAATTTTCTTAAGCCTGATGATATGATTTTGAAGTGGTTTTCTTGAATGAAGGTCCTGGGCTCAATTCCTGAAGAGGTCATTGGATTTGTCAGTTTACCTAATCCTCCCAGCTGCAATGTGGCCCTTGTGTCAACTCAGCCTCTAACAGAAATGTGTACCGGGAACCTTCCGGGGGTAAAGGGCAGCCAGGATATAAGGCTGACAACTTCACTGCCATCTTTGAGTCGATTGTCTAGAAAATGTGGGACCCTCGACATCTCATAACCCTATGGGCCTCTATGGCCTGTTACAGGGATAGCTTTACCTTTTTACCATTGTGTGGAAGTACCTGAGTTCAGATTCGGCTTCTTTATCATTGCTAAGTGTCTAAGCTTCTGAGCGAGCAAGAAATCAGGAAGTTACTGACCATACATGTGCACAAAGGCATTTTCACATATACATACAAGTTTCGTAAATTGTACCTCTGTAACGGTGAAAGGAATTGGACTACACGTAAAGAGTCAAGGATGCTCAGAAATGATATTCTGTTAGGCAGAATAATGCAGATGGATGATTGACTTGCTGGACAAGGCAGAGAGGTGAAGCAGTTCAGTTTGCTAGCTGGCTTTGTGTACAGCAGATGTTACTCTGGTGTTGGATTAAGGGAAATTTCATCCACTTTTTATTTTATCCAATCAAATATTTTATTGTGGTTATATTGCACTTGCAAGTATTAGAATCATAATCCCAGCACTTTGAGAGGTACCACCTCCATCTGGCTGTTATTCTTCACCTTCTTTTTGCATGCATTAAGATGTTTACCCCTGGTTAATTCATGCCTACCATGTATTTATATATGCAGTTGAAGAGTGAATTTGGGTAATCTATATAAATAAAAATGTAAATGTTCATTTGAGTCTGACCTAAGATCTCCGAAACTTCTTCACCGATCGCTTCGAAATTTTAACACAACGTTGCATTCGAACACCCGCGTGTTTCTGTGTGCCTGTTATGTAGATGTCACACCCGTGACAGGTAAAAACAGGTAAAAACCTGCCACATGTTCTGAATCCAGCAGTCATTTCACTAGTAACGCTAGAACAGTTAGCGTATACCTCCATGGAAACGCAATAACAGTGGTCTGTTGCTAGCATTTTTTTCTTCATCAGTGCAATCGATCTGCTTTAGTTCTTTCAAATAATGCCTCGCAGAAGATCAAACTTGGGTCATCGTACTCGCCGAGCGGAAGCAATGCGTCGAGTATTTGCAAATCAAACTGGAGAAGAACGGGCAGACTGAGCCACAGCAAGGCGTGGCCAGGCACAGCTAGTATATAATAACACTTAAAATGTCATTTTGATGTTTATTCCATGACCTGGGCAGTGTATGATGAATAACAGATGTCACTGTTGTGTCTTGGAAGCTGGATAGTGAATTTGAACTTTTGCATTGTGTTAACATTTTATTGACTTGCCTCTGTGGTTTAGTGATCAGAGTTCCTGGCCACAGATGCAGAGGTCCTGGGTTCGATTCCCGGCGCTACCAGATTTCCTGAGAAGTAGTGGGTCTGGAACAGGGTCCACCCAGCCTCGTGAGGATAATTGAAGAACTGTTTCAAGGAAATAGTCTAGAGAAAACTGAGATTAACAGCCATAGGGATCCATTGCACTGACCATGTGACACCCTCCATCCGCAAAAGTTGGCACTAACTTCGCCAACAAGCGGCATTTGCTCGGTTGGTGTAGTTCACTTGCGGACTGCAGGCCACAGAGGTTTTTTTTTTTTTTTTGGTTAACATTTTATTGCTATGTGCTGTAATTTCAGGTAAGAGTGGTGTGGTTCCAAATATCCCACCAGGTGTTCCTCCCATGCTTGGCACACATCAGTATATCATGAGCCAAGGAGGTCTTCCCTACTTCCAGCAGCCTGTGTACAGCTATGAGGACATCCAGTTGCTTCAGCAAAGGATACCACATGTGGTAATGTCCTCAGTTCTTAACACTATGTTATATTCATTTTCCTTCCTATATGTCCTCTTTATATGCACAAATTCTCTGTTTTGTGGCATGTGTAATAAATAGTTACATTGTCATTGGAAAGTTATTAGATTTTATTTAGGCAGC